TCTCTTTCATTTTGCGCTAAGTTTTAAAACTCGTAGATGTTTAAGAGAGTAGTTATTTTATTTTTTGCTCGTGTTAGTTAAATCAGTAAACTGTAACCACAATTACTACCTTAGCAAAGACATTCATGGTAGATTGAAACATCAGACTTGTTTGATAAAGGCTTAATACAGCTTGGGGTTGAATAAAAAACAAGGTTCAAATAGCAAATTCCATACTGATAAATGGACAGCAAAGCATTTGCGAGTTTGTTAAAATGGAAACCAAAATAGTCAAAGTCTATCGCGTTTCCATTGTCTCTTGTTGATGGGTTAAACTGCCGTACAATCGTTTCTACAAATGGTTGCCTCTTTTCTGCAATGATTTTCACCCAGACACCAAATGTTCATCCTCTCTGACCGTTTTTCTGAATGGAGCTCGAAGAACAGGTGAAGACTCTAACAGTTCCGGTTGGTGTATTCCTGGTGTTTTAAAACGGCTTGTGGGCGAGAACGATGTAATTTTTTTGGTGGACAATATCTCGAACTTGCCCAAGTAGGTTGACTCCAGCGACTCTAAAGAAGCAACCAGGAAAATGGTTTGCCCAATCTTTGCAGAATTCTTCAATTTGAAGCAGTTGAAGGGAGATGTATTGAGGTTGTATAACTTGTTGACATCCCCTTTGTTGTCACTGTCTATGATACGGTTCCGCTTTGTGCCGGCATTCCTTGGAATCGATGGTTGACGCGATGGAGAGGGCATGTTTGAAATGTGACTCTGACCTTTTCGAATGCAGCCTTTGCAACGTCAACGTTATTTTATTTTTCGTTCGTATTAGTTAAATCAATAAACTGTAACCACAATTAATACCTTAGGAAAGACATTCATGGTACATTGAAACATGTTTATAATAAAATCTCTTTAATAAAGTTATTTTGGTCAAGGCCGAGTGCAGTCCATCAGACTTGTTTGATAAAGGCTTAATACAGCTTGTGGTTGAATAAAAAACAAGGTTCAAATATCAAATTCCATACTGATTAATCGACAGCAAAGCATTTGCGAGTTTGTTAAAATGCAAACCAAAATAGTCAAAGTCTATCGCGTTTCCATTGTCTCTTGTTAATGGGCCAAACTGTCGTACGATCGTTTCTACAAATGGTTGCCTCTTTTCTGCAATGATTTTCACCCAGACACCAAATGTTCATCCTCTCTGACCGTTTTTCTGAATGGAGCTCCAAGAACAGGTGAAGACTGTAACAGTTCCGGTGGGTGTATTCCTACTTTTTTAAACGGCTTGTGGGCGAGAACGTTGTAATTTTTTTGGTGGGCAATATCTCAAACTTGCCCAAGTAGTTGGACTCCAGCGACTCTAAAGCAGCAACCAGGAAAATGGTTTGCCCTTTCTTTGCAGAATTCTTCAATTTGAAGCAGTTGAAAGGAGATGTATTGAGGTTGTATAAGTTGTTGACATCCCCTTTTTTTGTCACTGTCTATGATATGGTTGATACAGCACATGAACTGTATGTGTTTCCCTCATTCCCTCAATTAAGCGATTTAAAAAAAAAAATCCACCAAAACAAAAGCTAATATTATTTAATGCATTTCTGTAATCATTTGTGGCTTTGTGTCCTATCGAAGAGATGTACTTTTTAAATTTTATCAATGACTCTAGTGAATGGATTGCGTATTAAATACAAATGAAATCTAGTTTAGAGTAGCGTCATGAAATAAAATATTTAGTTTAAATGAATGCTAAAATACAACATGACCTGGGTCAACATGAAAGGTCGAATTTAATATAATTAAATAGTTACATTCCCTCAAAAATATACAAGTGTATTTTTTACATCCTATTGCAATAACATCGTTTTAATAAAATCGCTAGAGAAAAATGAGAAAAAATGAGAAAATTTAAACAGGAAACTAATAAATTTTGAAATTTACAGCATAAAAGGCGTCTTTCAGGGAAAAAAGCAACTAGAAGTAGGTTTAAATCACACTATTTGTTCTTAGATTTGGACCTTAAATCTGTTGACATTACTTCCCCGTAAGACTTCGTCAAATGCAAGACATCTGTGTGTAAATTTTCATTTTGACAAAGTTTTAAGTGTCCATTGGAGATTGAAAGGACCAGTATCTTGGTTTTGTAATTGGTGAAGCTGGAAATATGAATGCGTAACATGAAAGACTAGAGCAATTTCAGTTATTTTTTCGAGGAGAAATACATTATTGAATTTTCCCCGAATTCACAATCATTCTCCGGTAGACCAGACCAATTTTCGAGCATTTTCTAGGTGCATTTTAAAAACGTTGGCTGGAATTCACGGCGTGGCTGTAAGCGAGATCTTGGAAGGTCCAGCATGCTTTCGTGAAAATCTCCTTCTGATGTTCTGTATTTTCCAATAGCAAAGGTACAGTGCAGATTGCCTGTTCTGCAGGTTGGCAAAAGATCAGAAAGTGCAGAATTAAAAATAGTGCAGAATGTACATAGAGCTACATTTACATCACTAATCCATCGTGCGTTAGCAAGCGGGTTAACCTCTGGTATTAAGTTCTCCACAACGAGTTCGTCTAGCTGTATTGTACTTGCTGGAGAACTCCAGCAAATGAGACAAGTTTTGTTGTAGAGTCTGGCTGCTATCTCGTCAGAGAGGTGTTGTGAAGAACACATCTCTGGTACACGATAGAAACGCTCAAGACGAGGTATGAGGAGATTGTTGACAGCATCTCATTGTCAGGAGTTAGTCGCCAAAAGTTTCTTGTTCCATGCAAATTACGCATAACTCTTTCCGTCGCGCTTGTTTATAATTTGGTGCCTGGCCATCAATCACGACTAAATCAGGAATGGCCAGTGTTTTTAATAGAAGCCCATTTCGGCACTCATCGCAAGAAACACATTTAGATTTTAAGTGTTGAAGATCAACGCAATTATGATGCAAAAATATTCCACAACAGTCTTGTTCGTATGCTCTTCGTTCCTGGAGGCTTGCGATGAAAAGCAGATCTGCACAAGTGTAACAGCGGTTGATTCCATTTTCTTCTGGCTTCCACAGGTTACAAACTGAATGTAAAATGTTGCTGACGGGTTATAGCCTTGGGTAAGTGAGCCTGTTTGTGGATGTTCGTGAATTTCGCATTTTGTGACCAAAAAAAAGACATGCAAAAATATCTGCTCTTGCTTGTAAAACATCAACACTTTTCATTTATTTCAGTAACAATATTACATGTGCGTGATTTTTCTTTTAGTCCGGAAGCCAGGACCCTTAAAGAAGGGTTTTCTTACAATGATCGGGTCAGAAAAGGTTTGATAGCGGATTTTGATAGAACAAGACCTCCTGATCAATGTCAGCTAGTTAGTAGAGTTGATTTGTGGTATAGGTCACAAGTTAAGCGGCTATTTTAATAGGTCATCCCTTTAAATTCATGGAAAAGAGGCTAACATGCAAGATCACTGATAATGCGTAAATGAAACGTTTATTTTGACCTGAATCTACAAATGTCGTTACACCTTTGTAGGACGAATCTTAATCATGTGCCAATAGCTTAAATTGAGGTCACGTGACCGAACACGTGACAGCTGCAAGGTCAAAAATGGTGTTTTATAGCTTTTACTAGCCTATTTTAACGTCTTCATTACCATAAATGTGTTAATTATTCAGAGATATTCTGATATTTTATACTTACCGTTGGTGCATTACACACTTTAAGACAAATTCTAGCTTATTGAAGCTGAAACAATAAAAGAATGACAATTTTTCTCCCATTTCCGGGTCAAAATGAAAACGAGGCTCATTCCGGTAGCTTCTGTTCACGGCGTTATCTGCAATTGTTTATCGAGAGAAACCTCTAATATTGTTACTTCTTAACAAATTATATCCCAATCATGCTCAAACATTGCAAAGCAAGGTCACGTGACCTCAGACTGGCCAAAAATTATATTTCAGTAGCTTTTAGTACTAGAAAATGGCTATTAAATCAACAATAGGTGTTATTGTCCCAGGAAGTCTTCTTCCGTAAATAAGACTGTTATTTATTGTAATTTATGGCTAGATGACTTGATTCTACATTTTTTCGGGCCTTTTTGCATTATTGAGTTGTAGCTAAAAGCAGGAGCCGATCTGTTATACTTTAGTATACTTTTATAATGGATTTTGTGGTTAGAAATTGCGGGTATTCTGTAGTGTGTTAGCTCATTTTTGCAAGTATCATCGTTACTTTTGTGGGAAACTGAAATGAGGCTGTAGCCTCTTTTATCATCCAACATGGCTGCCTCCATGGCCGAAGCAGTGCAATCTCTGTAAGTACATTTATAGAATAGCTGTATCTTACTTCAACTAATACTTTTATAAAATAAAAAAAAACAACAACCTCAACAATCGACAATCGTTTTTCATGTCCTTTTCGAACACAATGTCAAACAATATTTCAAAATGTTTAGATTTGGTTGCCATATTCTTTTTTGTCTTTGATTTTTTTATGTGACACATTACTTTAAAAATCGTTATTAGACTATAGAATGGCTGATAAAGGTTCCTTTCCTGAGGGCTTCGCCTTTCCGTTACTTCCAAAATCGAGAAAAAGAAAACTGTCCCATAGCACATTGTGTATTATTTGCCAGACTGACCGCCCAGGGGAACCACTTAGAAAGGCAAAGGAAGACTCTATTGAAAAAGCGATAAAGGCAATGGAACAGCGTCGTGACGAGGAAGTGCGGGCAAGGTTTGTGAGTCATGACACCGTCACGGGAATTCATTGGCACTCAACTTGTTATGCATCATACACAAGTGACCAAAATATTCGCTATAAAACACTTAGCGATGCTTTACAGCATGCAAGCCGGCAAAAGGAAGTCGACGTCATCTCTAGTAGGACTTTTTGTTCTGCAACGGCCCCAGTTGATTGATCGAGGTGTTTCATTTGTAAAAATAAGACTCTTAAAAAGAGTAGAGATCTTATTAATCTATGCACATTTGAGGCCTGTGAAAGCATCCGAATAGCGGCTGAAAGAAAAGGAGATAGCTCTATGTTACACATTTTAAATGGTGTGAACGGAGACCTCATCACAGCAGAGGCAAAGTACCATATGAACTGTTTCGCTACTTATGTCAGTAAGAAAACCACGCTTAGCCTGCCCAAAGGAGAAGCCCTAGATTCACCTCACAAAAGGGCTTTTCAAAACCTTGTATTTGATCTAGCCGCTGGTATCGAACAAGGCAGAGCATACGATATGATGTCTCTATTAAGCAAATATCAGGAAATTATCACACAAAAAGGCGCTGATAGTCCGGAAAGTTACACCAGTCAAAATCTGAAAGTATGCTTGCAAAAGCATTTTTCCACTTTGATTGTCTTCCATCAGTCAGCCGACCGCAGTAAATCTTAACTTGTCTATGCAAGTACCGTTAACATTCAAGATGTTCTAAACGCATATGCAGTATTTCAGAGCCCCAAAAATGGAAACGTAATCGTCAACAACGGCAATGAAACACCACAGTCAAGTGAAATATGTCGTGTGGCAAGCTTAATCAAACAAGAGATAACGAAATGTACAGGTATTAACACCAAACCACTAAATACTCAAGACGTCAGCATGGAGAGCGCCAGATAACTCATCCCGGACTCTCTGTATTTACTAATCAAGGAGCTCGTGGTCTCAGATAAGAGGGCTAGACCCTCCAATGCGTTGAACCAGTCTACCGCAATTGAAGACAAACGACAAATCCTCAGTATCGCACAAGATATCATCCATTGCAATTCCAAGGGACGTGTTAAGCTTCCCAAGCACACCAGCTTAGCTATATGTGTTCATCATCTGACAACATCTAAGCGGCTTATCGAGCTGCTAAACAGAATGGGACATTGCGTTTCCTACGATGAGATGTGTGCAGTGAATACAAGTATTGCAGAGGACGTTCTTGCCAAGGCTGAAGAGTTCGGTACTGTCATACCAACTGTAATAAAGGGTGGTTCGTTTGTACAGATTGCCGCCGACAATAATGATTTAAATGAGGAGACTCGACGGAAAGAATACTACGCAGGCAACCACCATGGTTATTTATCAGAAAAGAACCTTTGGTCCAGATCCACCTCCCAGCCCAGTAGAACAGAGACCAAAGCAACGTTCATTACAGGCAACGGGTATGGTGTACGACATAGAACAGTGTCCAGTTCGAGGAAGACGTCCAGCTGTAACTGATCACGGCTCTGTTGACATGAAGTGGTATGATGATTTGAACAATGAAACAGGCACCGCTCGAAAAGCTGATTTCATCTGGACTCTTCTTCGGCTCTGTCCCAAGAAATTTGGAGAAGCTGTCGTTGCAGATGTTTAGGAAAAGCAATCAATTCCAAGTTAGGCAGGATTTAACGCCATTCTCTATCCTGAGATGCCAGTACTGAGCTATATTGGCTACTGTCCAATGATCGATGGATCATCTCTTGACTTTTCGACCATATACACAGTGCTGAAACATGCACAGAAGATAAGTGCCGCGATGAGTCAAGCCGACGCCGTGATAACCTTTGACCAAGCCATATATAGCAAGGCAAAGGAAATACAATGGAGATTTCCCAACGAGTTCTTCAACGTAGTGGTATGCATGGGCGGATTTCATATTGTTCTGAACTTTCTTGCACTGTTAGGGAAGAAATTTGCTGATTCTGGACTTGATGACCTCTTGATTGAGTCAGGTGTATATGCTGCTGGTTCAACGTCCGCTTTAATGAAAGGGAAATCTTACAACCGAGGAATAAGGGCACACAAGCTCTGTTTAGAAGTGTTCTTCCGTCTCATGTGGGATGCTTTTATTCTCTGGTACGAGTCATGAGATGAAAAGATCCCAGAAGAACCCGTTTTGCACAAGATTGTGGACTGCGTTCGAGCGGTGAAGAGCGACAAAGAGAGCGCACGAGAGGGCGTGAGAAAGATAACAACAGATCTGACGGAAATTACAGATCTATTCGCCATCTTTAAATCAGAGAATCAAGAAAGGTCCAAGTTGCATCTTTCCAGTACTGCAGCAATGTTACCTCAATTTTTTGCCATCGACAGGCAGAACTATGCTCGCTATCTACCTGTTTATCTCGCTGATATGCAGAAACTGGAACTAACTCACCCGGAAGTCTATAAGGAGTTTGCTGAGGGGAATCATTCCATAAGTCGTTCAGGGAAGCCCTTTTCACAAGTGTCCACTGACATGGCTCTGGAGCAGTCGATCAATGCTGACTCGAAATCAAGCGGAGGAGTGATCGGGATATCACAAAGTCCGTCATCTCTTGAGCGGTGGTTTTAAACAATACACGAGCGAGCATCTATTACATCTGCTTTGAAAGCCATGTTCAGCCTTCAAGATGGGGAACAAGCATCGCACAAGGAAGCAGCTCCAAGAAGAGTTCGACGAGACGAAGAAGATGTCAAGAAGATGATCAGTTGTTTTTCTTCAGGCTTGATGACAAATCCTTTTAATCTCGATGTGGATGCCCTTCTCAACATTGCTACTGGAGTAGTTCTTCCGGAAGATGTTGCCCAGACCCTTGTTCACGGTACCGAGAAAGGCCGGCAGCATATGAAGGCCTTCGTCGAGCAGCGTATTAATAGCAATGCCGTTGGTTTCTGGGAACCAATACCCAACATGAAGATCAAGACGTTCAGCAGCGCTTATAAGGAGATCCACGTCAAATCCAGCGACAAGCTTGTCACTGTTAACGCAGACAGGGACTTGTTTGGCAGGCTCCTTATCGTATCAAACACTCGACAGATCTCTCTGAAAGATGTGCTAAGCTTTGAATTGTCTCCAGTACCATATTCACTCGCAAGCGCAGATGGGAGTCTAAGAAAAGGGACAAAGAGCGTCCTATGGTCTCTTCTGGAGAAAGACGTTAACGTGCTTCAGCAACTAACAGCATTACCTAATCCAACTGTTGTTATCATCGACGGCATGGGTATCATACAAATGTCAAAATCTGCCGGAACAAGTACCTCTGGGGATCTTTCTGAAAAGTACTACAACATCTTCACTGCCCCGCTCTTTTCAAACAACTGTGTGCAAGTCCATGTAGTCTTTGACCAATACTGGGAGAACTCCATAAAGGAAGGAGAGCATGAACAACGAGGAGCATCCGTTGGTCTTGAAGTGCGGATAGGAGGTCCTACCACTCCAGTCCCCAAGCAATGGGGAAAGAACATTTCCAATCCCAAGAATAAGGTAAGGCTTAGATTATTTTAGTTAACAAGTTTTACACTTAAACTAAACTTTCGTTACCAGCAATGTGAATTGGCAATCAACATTTTTTGCCTTTGAGTGTAACCATTCATAAGAGATTCCAATTCTCAAATGTGTGTTACATATTTCCAGTACCAGGTTAACCTGTGCGATTTCCTGTCAGCTGCGCTCTGCAGACTCGGTGAACACCAGCTTCCCCCACAGAAGGAGCTTGTGATCGGGGGTGGCTTCAGAGATGGCGAGAAAGCGGTGACTGTGACAATAGGTCAGTGCAAAGAGGTCCAGGTACTCCGATCGAATCATGAAGAGGCTGACACCAGGATGATATTGCATGCCAAGTACGCAGCAAGAACAGATAGACGACTTGTTACCCAGTCGCCGGATACTGATGTCCTTATCCTAAGCGTTAGCCACTTTAGAAGTTTGGGATGTCCAGAATTGTGGTTTCGCACCGGATTGAAGGACGGACAACGAATGATTCCAGTGCATGAAATCGCCCATGCTTTGGGTGAAAAGCTTAGTAGATCTCTTCCTGGATTCCATGCAATCACAGGCTGTGATTCGACCAGCGTTTTGGCTGGTATCAGGAAGAAGAAGGCTTGGGATAGTTTTTGTCGTAGTACTGACCACCAGGATAACGTGTCTCATCTCGGAGAGGAACAAGAATTGAATGTAACCACAGCCAGCAAATGCGAAGCCTTTGTTTGCAGTCTATATACAACATCCAAAAAGGCAAGCACCGTAGATGAGCTGCGTTACTTTAAGTTCTGCCAGAAAAAGCAGAAAAACGAAATGCTTCCACCGACGTCTGATTGTCTACTTCAACATCTAAAGTGATCAAACTACCAGGCTTTCGTATGGATGCATGCTCTTGAAGCGATGCAAGATCTTGAGTCACCAGAGGGTCATGGATGGGTGAGGGATGAAAAGCATCTTTTACCATTGCTAATGACAAAAGCACCGGCTCCGGAAAGTCTCCTCGAACTGATGACGTGTAAGTGCAAGACGTCTTCCTGCTTGCGAAACTGCTCCTGCAACAACACAGGGCTTTCTTGTACTGAAGGATGCTACTGCATGGCCGATGATGAAGTATGTAAAAACCCGCATGGTGTTACCTGCATAAGTGACTCTGAAGAAAGCGACGAGGAGTGAAAAGGCTCTCGAACTGTTAAATTGTTTGATGTTTGACGTATATTTTCTACAGAGCAAATTTATAAAGGCAGAAATATTGCTATCAGTAATCTCCTATACAGTATTTCATAACACTGACAAAAAGTGTATTGTAAACAACAGATTTTGTGAGATAACATAAGTATCGACGTATATGCGTTCCGGGCGATTTAATAGGCATCTTCTAGCACTGAAATAGATGTTTTGGCTTGTCTGAGGTCACGTGCTTGGTCACGTGACCTTGCTTTGCAAAGTTTGAGCATGATTGGGGTATAATTTGTTAAGAAGTAACGATATTAGAGTTTTCCCTTGATCAACACTTGCAGATAACGCCGTAAACAGAAGCTACCGGAATGAGCCTCGTTTTCATGTTGACCCGGAAATGGGAGAAAAATTGTCATTCTTTTATTGTTTTAGTTTCAATAAGCTAGAATTTGTCTTAAAGTGTGTAATGCACCAAAAGTACCTATAAAATATCAGAATATCTCTGAATAATTAACACATTTATGGTAATGAAGACGTTAAAATAGGCTATTAAAAGCTCTAAAACACCATTTTTGACGCTGCAGCTGTCACGTGTTCGGTCACGTGACCTCAATTTAAGCAATCTGAACTTGATTAAGATTCGTGCTACAAAAGTGTATCGATATTATCGATATTCAGGTCAAAATAAACGTTTAATTTACGCATTATCAGTGGTCTTGTATCTTAGCCTCGTTTCCATGAATTTAAAGAGGTGGCCTATTAAAATAGCCGCATAGCTCGTAACCTATACCACAAATCAACTCTACTAACTAGCTGACATTGATCAGCAGGTCTTGTTCTATCAAAATCCGCTATCAAACCTTTTCTGACCCGATCATTATACGAAACCCTTCTTTTAGGGTCCTGGCTTCCGGACTATTTGTGTTTCGTAGCGAGAAGGTTCTCCGTGACCGAAGAAAAATTCGAACTTTCTTTTTTAATTTTTTTGAAGGGTAAAGACAAAAACTTGGCTGTTGTTAGCGGGTTGAATTTTTATAGCCTTGGGTTAGTTTGCCTGTTTGGAGATGTTCGTGAATTTGGCATTTTGTGACCAAAAAATATTGATAACTAGCGACTTTTAATACCTGTTCAATGACTTTAATGAAGAGACGCTCAAATGTAATACTTGCTCTTGCTTGTGGGAAAGACATGCAAAAATATCTGCTCTTGCTTGTAAACATAAACATTTTTCATCTGTTTCAGTAACAATATTACATGTACGTGATTATTCTTTGTGTTTCGTGCCTAGAAGGTTCTCCGTGACTGAGGAAAAATTCGAACTTTCAGTTTTAAATGTTTTGAAGGGTAAAGACAAAAACTTGGCTGTTGTTGGCGGGTTGAATTTTCATAGCCTTGGGTTAGTGTGCCTGTTTGGAGATGTTCGTGAGAAAGTTTGTCACGAACCAAATACTCCCCCACGCTATATTTAAAAAGGTCACATTTTTGGATATGGTTACAAAAGAGAAAGCAACAAGCTACAGTACAGCTACAAGCAGGAACAAAAATCTCGACCAAAACAGAAATGGAGACAGATTTGCGCTTTTTGCTTTGCAAAGAGATTCCATCAGGCAAACAAGCAATGAAACATATGCGCCCTTTCTCCCCCCCCCCAAAAAAAGTAAGAAAAAAATTTCCCAAAACCATACACTGTACATGAAACATTTTACATTAAACTATGACTCGAATCCCTGCCAACAGAAGCGAGGAGACGCCTCTGTTTTCTGATATTCTGAACAGAATCGAACTGTATCGAAATAAATAACGCACTCATCTCAGAATGCATTTTTGGATTGGGTCAGGACACGTAATTCCAAATTAATGAAGAATTTATCTTCGAGAATTTAAAATTATATGTAAGGATATGCAATACAGGTTGGTATACGAGAAACAAGCGCTTGAAAATGTAATAAGCTTACATTTAAGCTTGTGTTAAACTTCAGAGTGAAACATAGTCTGAAGAAAACAACATCTTACTTTGAAGATTCATTCACGACCTTAAAGTGTAATATCACAGTCATCCCTTAATGTCCTTAGACAATTTTAAAACTTGTTTTTAGTAAAACAATATTGGGTTTTAATTCCCTTAATACTGGTTCAGTCAATACTGCTGAGGTAGATGTACATTGCAGCAGTATAATATGTTTATAACAGCTGTAGCTAGATTTAAACAGACAAGGCCATTATTATGAATGACTCAGCTTTTAGCTCTTCCTTAAGATCTTAACAGGTGGGGTTTCTTCTGGACTATTTTACGAATATAAGTAGATAAAGGCACACCAACACTTAATCCCAAATGACTGTCTTATGACTTTGTCCTAAAAGCGTATTAAAAGCTGTCACAAATACTTAAATCCAAAGTAGACAGAATAAAAGTGATCCATAAGAGCCACTAACAATATAAAGTGATCATTATTTAAATATTAATCTGGGGTGTAATTTCCTCTGGGTGTGATTTCAAATTAGGTCTATTAAACAAGGCACACCAAGATTATATTTCTGAAGTTCAGCTCTTCAGAAACAACTATTAAATTTCAAAAGCTTAAAATGCTAAATACTTCTAGTGTCAATAGGTTATTTTCCGTGCTATTATTATAAATGACTCAGCTTTTAGCTCTTCCTAGATAAAACAGGTGGAGTTTCTTCTGAGATATTTTTATAAATATTTAAAAGCACACCAACACTAATAATCCCAAATGGTTGTCCCATGACTTTGTCCTAAAAGCTTTTTAAAAGCTGTCAAATACTAAAGGTCTAAAATGGATAGAATAGAACTGCTCCAAGAGCCACCAATAATTTTAAGTGATCATTACTAATGTTTGATCTGGGGTGCAATTTCCTCTTGGTGTGATTTTAAATTAGGTCTATTAAACAAGGCACACCAAGATTATATTTCTCCACCCTACTTAATTAGGGTTGGCTTATTTATACTTATAGCTTTTAAGATTTCACAGTAACATAGGGTTAAAAATATGAGCCAAAATTGACAACCAAAGTTAATTGCTCCAAGTCATGTCATGATGTTGGCTCATTGTGGCTCAGAAAGTCTCATTACTATTATTTTTTAAAAAGGTTTCAAAAGTAACTTGATTACTTTTCATATAGATATT